AGGTGAGTTACCAGATTTATACGTTAAGGTGTGTGTCAGATAAATCTGAGGAAACTGTTAGGTGAGCCCAAGCCCCACCCAGGAAAGAAACACACGGAGGATCTCGAGTGACTCCAGAGGTCAGGAGCTGAGGGGGATTCCAGACCGTTCCACTGGAGGCAGCCCGAGGAATATAAACCATCTCTCACCCAGAGATAAACACATCCTTGTGTGCTTGCCCCAGGCAGGAAAGGTGACCTGCATTTACCTCCATTTATTGTCTATATGTTTTAAAAAGACACCTTTATTTAATTCCTACAAAGAAAACAACCCCAAAGCGGAAAAGAAGGAAGGGAGGAAGCGTTGACCTTTTGGTGATAAATGAGTTATTTCACCAATAGCCGCAGACTATTAGGCTCCGTTGGCTCTGGAACACAGCCCTTTAAGGTGCTTGGCACAAGGGAAGCCAACATCTACAGCCTGAGGCTTACTGTGAGTGAGCAGGGAAATGGGGAGAAGACTCGGAAAGGAGAGAAGGGAGACAGGAGGACCATGGGAATCCCGTTCTCCCACAAGTGTCTTAACCGAATGACTTCCAGTGTGTGTTTCCCCCTTGCCACAGCTTAGGCCTCCATCAAGGCAGCTGCAGACCTGAGTCCTAAGGAGCAAAGACTGTGTCCCCTCACAGGCTTTTAGTGGCCTCATCAGAGGCTCTCTGGACAGCGATCACAAGATCCAAGCCCACCCATGGAGGCTGGCTGAGTCCAGAGTTTATTTTCAGTCACGCAGCTGCTGGAAGGTGACTTCTGAAGCCTCAATGTGCGGTAAGGTTTCTTGATGATTCGGTTTTCTGTGGAGCCACCCGACCAAAGTGAGAAAAAATAAACCTGAGAGGCCAAAGATGTAGGTAGTGGTTATGGTAATTTATGGAGAACCATGGCAACACCAGCGTTTCTGTGTGTGATACTTGATGAGAATCCTTATCAGAATTCATGATAAGGAGTCTGCAAAAGCAAATATCCAATATATTTTAAACACACAAACACATGTAAAGCATGAGACATACAACTTTAATGATAGTCTACCAATTACTTATTAGTGGACAGAAGTTTGAAATGAAACTATAAAAAAAATCCAAATTGCCTAAAAATGAATAACCACGAAAACCCAGCAATGCTATTATATTATCTGAGCTTTGACTGAGTGAGTTTTTAAAATTCATAAACATGGTCGCCAAGAGCATATTTATGAGCTAGAAAAAGACGAGTCAGAGATACAATGATACAGTTAAGAACTAGCTCCAAATATTTTTTTCTGACTCCTTCATGTAATCCTAACTCTCATCTGATAACTTTGAAGGGCGCTGTTAGTTGGGGGTGAGAGACAAACCCATTTGTTTACCTCCAGCAGAAATCTGTTTGGAAGCAAGCAGTGAGTACATCCCTTTCATCCCTACTTTTGCTGCTTCGCTTGTCTATGATGGCAATCCCAACAGCCATGAGATCCCAATGTCCCACAATGTTCCAATGTCCCACAATGTCTCAATGTTCCACAACTCATGACTTTTACACACAAGTCTCACGTCACACTGTGCACACCCTCGAGCAATCTCCAGTGTGAGCCTTGCCTGTGAAGTGCAGGTTTAGCCTGTCATTTACCTTTAGCCAGCTATGGTAATACCAACTGGGTAGATACTTCCCTAATTGCTTTGTAGGACACCAGCTTAGAAGACAAGACGCTTTGAGACCATAGCTGTCATGCGTAGACAGGGCTATGAAATGTCCCAGAGCATGGGGTGATGGGTAGGTAGTTCCTTGGTGAGGACAAATCCAGGTGACAGACCCAAAGAAAACCAGAGACTCAGTATTCCAAGCGCAACTGAATTTCGTAACTGCATGAACTGAAAGACAACCCTTGAGCCCTGATAAAGGACCAGAAGGACCGACAGCTGGCTTTGTGAGACAGTAAGCAAAGCTGGGGCTAGCTGCCCCCGGACTCAGCGCATGAAAACAGATCTAAGTCCTGTATTTGTGGTGGTTTGTTATGTAGCAATAGACAACAAAGCTCATGGTTTCTGTTATGCCTTGGCTTTGAAGCGTCCCACAGGCTCATGTTTTGAACACGAGGCTCTCACTTGTGGCATTGTTTGAAGGCTGTGGGGTCTCTAGGAGGTGAAACCTCATTGGCAGGGTTAGGTTAACAGAGACAAGCCCTTGAAGGTTAGTCCCAGCCCTGGCTCCAGGTAGCTTTCTCTGTTTCATGGTCTGCGGGGGGAATACTGTTGCCTCACACTCCTCTACAGATGGAGCTGTTTGCCACGGTTTCCCGGCTATGCCAGGCTGCAATCTCTCCAAAACCATGAGCCAGACGAGCATCTGCTCCCTTCTGTTTTCCCGTCAGGTGTGTGACCACAGTGAGGCAGAAAGAACTGAGAAAATTCTGATTCTCTTTCTACTCAAATAATTATGCTTCAGCTTTGACAATTATTTTGTTCCCTGTTTTTTCCTAGTTGTTATTAGTGTTTGTATTTTTGTTTTCCAAACAGAGACTCATTCTGTAGCCAGATCCTGAGCTCTAGATCCTCCTCCCCCAGCCTCATGAGTGCTGGGATTACAGACATGTGCTACCACACCCAACTTGTTCTTCCTTCCAAAGATGCTAAAAAACATATAGCTGAATGCTTCATACATGAATATTGCCTGTGTAGTTTAAAAGTTCATTGATGGATATACTTCTCTCGGTAGGAATCTTGAGACACAAACAAATTATACACCTAAGTGATTTATCCCATACTTAAAAATTAGCAGGTGGGGGTTGGAGAGATGGCTCAGTGGTCCGGGGAGACCACTTGCAGAGAGCCTGAAGGTTCCTAGCGCCCATGTTGGATGGCTCACAACTGCCTGGGACTCCAGCTCTGGGGGATCTGACCCTGTCTTCTAGCTACTGTGGGTAACTGCACGCATGTGCACATACCACACACGTATACACATAAATGCAATTTTTTTTTAAGTTGGAAGGCTTGGTTTATTTGCTTTGTTTTGAGAGAGAGGTATACTTCACTTTTAAGGAAATAAAATTTAATCTTCCAACATTTATAAGTTAAGAATTTATAGGATCATTATGAAGATAGGCAGAGAGAAACTGTGGACTCCAAGCTCAGCTATCCAAATGTTAACAACAGTGTGTATCACAACCAGAAAATGATAAAGCACACCACATCTCATTGCTGACTAGGCTCCACGCTTTATTCCTGCTTTCTTAGCTTTATGTCTGCCCCAGAGTCAACTTGGCTACGATACGAGGTGACATTCAGTCATAATGTTGACTTGGGCATCTGCCTGGGACAATTTCACCTTCATCGCTTGATTTTAATTACACTGGTGGTTTGGAAGAGTTCTGATCAAACATTTAGAATAGACAGATATTAGACTTCATCTTATGTTTTCCCCATGGTTAGAGTCAGAGAGCATGTGGGGCTGAAAATCCCAAAGGTAAAGTGTCCTTCTCACTATAGATCAAAGATCTCTGATTAATATGACCGGTCACCGTGATGTGAACTGCGATTCCCTGATGAAGGTGAGACAGGAGAGGGCTCGCCTGGCAGGAACAAAGCTCTGGTCTCTGTCCTCTAGAGCAGGGAACATTTCTGTCTGAAGTAGGATTGTTTCTTCCCCCTTCCCGCTCTGCGCTCTGTAGGAAAGTTAGCTGAGATTCTTCCACTGGGCGGGGGAGATCCTAGCTGAGATTCTTCTGCCGAGGGGGAGGATTCTAGCTGAGATTCCTCTGCTGGATGGGGGCTCCACCATTTATTGTTTATACACCCAATCATTGATATGAGTGCAGGTATGTATCCTTTAGGTTATAGCTCAAGGCTGTTTTATTTATTACGAGGCTGAAATTGTCCCAGTCATTGGGAGTTCTTGCAGCTGGGTCCCACATTTGCGTGAGGGGCAGATGGGGAGCTTTGTTTAGCCATTTTCTTTTTCATTTCTTCAATTTCTGGCACCATGGGATACTCTAAGCTTATCTTGTGCATTTCCTGCCCTCGTCTTAATCAACTCTTTCCTCAAAGAACCCCTGCTTTTAATGTAGAACAGACCTGGGAAGCAGAGTTTTCAGAGCAGGGAGCTCAATGCTATGGGGGTGTCAATGCTTTTAAAGCAAACCAGTGCTTCAGTCTTTACATAAGACACATACATGTTCCTACCCTCATCATGTCATGTCCTTATTTCTGGACATGACAACTCATACCCATAATCCCAGCACTCAGTAGGGAGAGACAAAAGAAGGGCCATAAGTTCATTGCCAGCCTGGGCTCCATAGTGAATCTGGAGACAGCCTGAGCTGTGAAGTGAGATTCTGTCTTAATAAACCCCAAACAGAGAACAATAAAAAATAAAATCAAACTTTAACAAGTATTTTAAATGGCTATTGTATCAGCCAGCGAGGCGGTCCTATTAGAATCATTGGAAGAGGGAGGACTCCAGGCCACAGAGAGGAGCTGACATATGTGTAGCCACTAAGTGGTAGAATCAGGAATCGAACCGAAGCACCTAGATCCAGATTTGCCCAGATCCGTATCTGGCACACTTCCCAAGGCTCCACATTGCCTCACGTTACGGACTGGGGGGCTCACAGAGATGCTGTCTCAAACTGCCAAGTCATTTAACCCATCTATACATTCCCCAAACATATATGTGCCCATTAGGTGCCAGGCTCTGCTATAATTTGTGCCTGGCACCATCTGAAATACCGCTTGAACTATGGCCCAGCTTTAACATGTCAGGGGAGGTTGCTGTGTGTATCCCTGGAGGTAATCTGAGCTTTATTTTTTAATCTCTGTCCACTTATTCTATCAATTTTAAAGCGATGACTCAACGTTTCTCCTGTACATAAAATCCTCATTCCTTTTGCTGCTGTTCACTGATAAAATACTTGAACAAAACAATTTTCATGAAAGCATTGAACAAAACCCAGATTCCCATGTAGAGCCGAGAAGAGAATTCTAAATATGCACTTACTTTGTGGCTGTCACTTTCAGGAGGCTCCACAGGACTGGAGTTGAGAATGATCTGAAAGAAGCAGGCAACAGAACAGAAGTGAGCCAAAACACCTTTCAGGGGGCATCCTCACCTTGCTGGAGGGAACGCTGGAGGCTTGGCTTCGGGAGTCACTGGTACATTTTGGGAAAAGGTTGCAGATCAATGAGATAGGCTCCTCTAGGACACAAGACAGAGCCAATATCATTGGGAGTCCGGGATTGGCTTCCTAACAGTTCCAGGATCCTTGGAAGAGGATACGGCACTGAAGAGGAAGACGGGTCCTCAGGGTCAGTGCCTGGCACCAAAGGAGCTGCCTTCCACGTGTGTAAAACACGACTGTAATTTACACACCAACTCATTTACACACGCGTGAGAAGTCACGATGCACAGTGCTGGAGACATAGCTCAGCCCATAAGGAGCTTGTCACATAGCCAGAGGACCCACATTTCATCCCTGGAATCTACATAAAGATGCCAGGCGTGATGGCACACACTTGTCAACCAGGGCTGGAGAGGCAGACAGGCAGACCCTGGGTTTGCTGGGACTAGCCTACCCTACTGCTAACTAGTTGCTGTGACTAGCCTACCCTATTACTAACTAGTTGCTGTGACTAGCCTACCCTACTACTAACTAGCCTTGCTGGGACTAGTTAGGCCAAATGGAAGAGTCTGGATCACAAACTAGGTAAACGGCTCCTGAGGAATAACACCCCCCAGTGGTCCTCTGGTCTTCATGTGCACATTGCACATACACACGTGCACACACAAAACACATATATACACACACATAAATCTTTTAAAGTATCAATAAGGAATGGTAGATGGTCCCATGGACAAAAGCTCCTGTTGACTGAGCCTGCTAAGCTGGGTTTTATCTCAGGAACACATGGTGGAAGCAGATGACTAAGTGCAGAAAGTTAGATTCTCGGGACAAGAGTCTCAGAAGAATGAAAAGATCCAAGTGAGCCGCCTGGGAGGAGACTAACTCAGCAAGTCTGTGGAGAAAGCTGTGAGGCAGAAGATGGGGTCTGCAGACCCCATCGCTAATGGACATGTGTCTGGAGTTTAAGCCCTCTCTTTGAAGAAAGGGCATTTTAATACCTCTGGGGCCACCAGTCTAGACAATCTAATCGATCTCTATAATATAATTCCAAAGCTATCAAGAGGCCAAAGCCCTCTAGGAAGATCTGCTTTAAAAATCCCAACTGACATCACTGAATTAGTAAGAATCCATGCTCCTTTTATTGGGGGTAAAAGCCCAAGGACTGTACAGTCATTCGTTTTCCTGTTGTTTTTTTTTTAAAGTTAAAACATCAATTGCAATAACTCAACATGAAAAGGTAACTGACATGATAGAAAACGTAAGTGCTGAGCTCCGTGTGCGTGAGGATTTGGCGAGGCACCATTTGTGGCCACGTTCTTCTCTGTCAATACACCAAGGGCTCTTCCGAGCGTTTGCAGAGAACTGAGACGAGAGAGTTGGAACAGAACTCAGAGCTTTAGCCAGAGGCTGAAGCAGCTTACCCCTTTGCCTGCAGAATAGCAGCAATGTATTTCAGCGGGCCAACAACTGGACCTCTGAGTGTTCCAGAAGTGACAGCCATCGAATAATTCTGATGTAAAACAGATTCTTGTGAGTTTCTCACTTGCAGTCTATACATTTAATAGACACCATTGAAAAACTTTGGCTTAAAGAAAAGAAATCTCTCTGAGCACAATTTAGAACAGAAAAAAAATATGGCTGGATGATTTTTTATAGACTGTCCTTTAACTCAAAGTTATTTTGGTGACACCCAAGCACATAACTTTAAGAATGGCATTCTAAAGCTTTTTCATTGCTAGGATGTAGAAATGGATGAAGTAAATCTACAATGGTTTGTACATTTTAAAGTACGCATAGTCAGCTCCATGTCAGGCTTTAAGAATTTATGGGGGGCAGGGTGAAACGGCAGGGACAGTGAGCAATCCGACCTGCCGTGGAGCCCACAGCATCACACCAGAGAGCTTGTGAAGGATCGAGCCGGCTGGTAAGCCGGCAGCACAGGCCAGGAGAATTCTTTTTTCTCTAAGTCTCTGCACTAGCTTCAGATCTTCCCACAGACCAGGGTACACTGAAGTGCAATCTGCCTACCCATAGTCTACCCACAGCCCACTACATACACGCGACACATGC